TGAGTTTGCAGGCTACTGAGTCATCTGGGGCACCACAGGGCACTGCCATGGCTAAGTATTAGTGCCACTGCAAGGCTTTGTCCCCTAGGAACCCCCTGGGATGGTGAGAACCTGGGTTGCCCACACAACACAGCCATTGGCACTCCCTTGGCTTCTTCCCCAGCCTCAGCAGTCTCATCCAACCAAGGAAATTATTTTTATTTTTATTTTTTTTAAGAAAGAAAAGAGGAAAAGCAGAAACCAAACAAATAAATAAAGGAGCAAATGCAGCACTTGACTCCAGAGGCCTCTGCCGTGGGAAGAAGCTGTCCCAAAGTGGTGTGTCATCAGCAGCACAGAAACCCAAACAATCAGCCCCTCTGTGTGCCGTGCCAGCTGCAGCCCAGCCGGGACCAGGGCGGGGGAACAATGGCCGTGGGGACAATGGGGATTGTTCAGGCTCCTCCGGAGGGAACAGCCCCATGCAGTCCTGGGAGGGGACCTGCAGCTGTCACCAGCTCCGAGCTGCCAGACAAGTGGCAGATTTGGTGTCCCCTCAAGAAGGGCATGTGCCTGGCGGGACTCTCACAGGAGGCTGGAAGTGGCAGTGAATGCTTGTTAAAGGTTTCTCTGCAGGAAAACCCTCTCTCCATGCTGAGCTGGGGTTTATGGGGTGCTGGGATGCATAGATGGCGAAAGCAGGGCCAGGCTGTGCAGGATGAACCCATGGCTGCTCTATCAATGCTGTTATCCATGTGTATGTGTGCATACACTCACTGCAAAGACACATGGAGAAGGTTTCTCCTCTTGAAGGAGAAATGTTCTCTTGATTGAGGTTTCTCCTCTTAACTCATTCTAATGCTGGTCACTCTATCCTGGAGCCATGGAAGCCAAGTTACCTTTCCCAGCAATGCCATTACAGAAATAATTTCAGCTTTTCAAATGAATGTAGGTAGTTTATCTATTAAACATGGAGGATGGCATCTTTTTGCCCTTCTCCCCTTTTGCTTTTCATGCTTCATCCACCCCTTGGTGCTCTCCCACCCAGGACAGCATCACTTCTGGTCTGCCAAAGCCCAGGCACAGCAAAGTCAGGGTACTGGCTGGCAAAAAGAATGAGCTTTTTGGGCAGCAGCAATTTGCTTTGGATCTGGGGTCCCTTTTCCCCAAGGGAGTCAGAGGAGTGGCAGGGGTCTGTGTGTGTGTGTGTGTGTGTGTGTACACTATAAAGCACAGGTCCATCTGTCAGCATTGCTGGGCTATGACTACAAGTGTTTATCTTGAAAGCCAGAGGGTTACATTCTCCAAAGTTTCCAGGGAGAAAATACAGACCCTTCCTTTCAGCTGTGTGCTGGAGGATGTGTAACCTCGACAAATTCCTCCGTTTTGTTTGGCTTGGGTGCACTGTGCCAGGTAGCATCACCAGCCAGAGGCTCTCCTGACTTTGATCTGGGAGCTAGGTGTGCTTCACGACAGGTTAATGGCCATCAAACTCTGCAGCCCAGAGTCTAGACTCTTCCACCTGCTCTGTACATATTAACACAGGCTCACACACAACTCATTCTGTACATGTACCCATACGAGCAGCCAGTCTCACCACGGATGCAAAGCAAAGCTCCTCAGCAGCCTTCCAAAACAAGCAAACTAAGCCTCTGCAATGGACACAGCAGCACTGTGGATCCAGGGGACAAGCAGCCTGTGCTCCTGCTGTATTCCTAGTCAGGGTTACCAAAGCTGAAGGCCTCCTTTCCATCACCATCTGCAACAAAACATCTCCATGCTGCAGCTCTGGCCTTTCCCTGGAGCTCTGTGAGGGATGCATATCCCAGGTGCAAAAAACACCACTGTGGGGGAGCTCACAGTGTCAGAGTGGAGAAAAACATGCTGAGGGGCAGCTAGCCAGCCAGCTGCCTTGTATTTTGGCTGGCATCTCCTGTTCCTAACACCTAGCACCACACTCACAATGCAGAGGAATCCCAAGGGCAGCATTATCCCTGTCACACCTCCAGCCCAGTCACTTACAGAAAACACAGGTAATTTGTCCCTCAGGTTGGTCAACACTGGCTGCAGTGAGACCACAGAGCTGCTCCCCATCACCATGTGCTGCACGGGGCTTCCAAGAGAAATGAATCATCCCTGAGCCAAGCAAACAAAAACAAAATAAACCCCTGTGTTTATAAAGTACAGGGAACGGCACAGCTGTGGGCCAGAGCCTTGAGAAAACAAGACAGCTTCAAAGCACCTGGAGCTGCACCCGGTGAGCAGCAGGGACAGGATGGAACAGCCAAGCTCCCTGTGGCTGCTGCTGGTCCTGGCAGCCTTGGCCTGAGCTGTGTCCTGCTGAGTGTCCAGGGGACCTGTCCTACAGGCAGCAGAGGCACTGCCTGCTCTGCAGATGCCAGGAGAGGATGATCATAGAGTCACAGGATCATGGAATACCCTGAGTGGAAGGGACTTAAAAGGACCAGGGCCAACTCCTGTCCCTGCCCAGACCCACCAACAAGCCCACCCTGGGCATCCCTGGCAGCGCTGTCCAAAGGCTCCTGGAGCTTTGGCAGCCTCGGGGCCATGCCCATTCCCTGGGGAGCCTGGGCAGTGCCAGCACCCTCTGGGGGAAGAACCTTTCCCTGAGCTCCAGCCTGACCATCCCTTGACATATATTCATGCCATTCCCTCAGGAACTGTCACTGGCCACCAGAGGAGAGATCAGGGCCTAGACCTCCATTGGCCTTGGTGAGGAAGCTGCAAAATGTTATATCATTTCTCCTTAGTCTCCTCTTCTCTAGGCTGAACAAACAAAGTGACCACAGCCTCTCCTCATATGGCTTCCATCCTTCTTCACCATCTTTGTCCCCCTGCTTTAGACATTCTCCAATGGCTTTAGATTGTTCTTATACTGTGGCACTCAAAAGTGTATATTAGTCCCAGTCATTCTGCATCAGTGGCTCCAAAGCCACATTTGGGTGTTTTGCACCCAAAGTGCACATCCTGTGTCCTGGCAGCACATGAAATGAATGGGCACATGACATGAAATGGGCAGGTCAGTCTGACACCAGTCTGGGCACCCCCAGGCACCCCCACACTGGCATTCCAAGGCTTTTGGTGTGTGTTGTTGCAGCTCCAATGAGGAAAACCAAAGTTATTATTTGACTGCAACAAATCACAATCATCTCCTTCATCCCCACAACCAAACTCCAAGGCCACCACTGACCCCCAAAGGGCAAAGGGATGGTGAAGAGGCAGCAACAGTGCTAGACACTCAGATTTTAACACATGGTGGTGTAATGGTTCCCCCTTGGTTGTTGTTTTCAGTGTGGTACGACCCTCAGAGACGCGCAGACAGGCCATAGCCCAGAGTCCTCAGTGTCATCCTCCTCCCTCTCTCCATCAGAAAAAGGGATTTAGCTTAAAAATTAAGACCTCAGGCAACCTGCAATGCTTTGGAGCTTGTCTTACAGGCTGCAATGTCACAGCAAAATTTTTGTGAACTTCAGCAGGATTTTGACCAGGTGCTGGAGTCCTTCCCAAAGCACATGAATGTGGCTCAAATGAAGAGACATAACCGAAGGGGGAGAAAAAAAGAAGTTCAGAAGGAACAATCAGAATTATTTGAGTGGGTGCAAATCAGGCAAACAGGTTTAGCTTAAGAAGAAAAAGGTCTCTGGCAGAACCTTCTCCACATCAAATTCTGCACTGTTGTTTGTTTTGAAAACATTTTTGCTTTGAAACTCATGTCCTGTTTGTTTGATTTGATGTTAAAGGGTTAACTAACCTGAAAAACTAAACAAAACTATTTGCTTTGGGCTGACTAAACTGATTAATTCAACCCACACTTCTCTCTCTTCCCTCTCCAGGTTCGTTGTTCTGCTTTAAAAAGGAAAAAGCAATAGCTTTGAGCTGATCTGATTTTTGTATTTTTTTCCCCTCTCACCCTCCCACACTTTTTGGTTTGGCTACCAGGCTGAGAAATCCATTACCCACAGGGAGCCCAGGCCAGCCTAACCCACATCTGACAGTAAAAGAAACCAGATTCTCCATGTCTTTTTAGCCCCTGGCTTTCTTCTTGGGCTTTCCCACACGCTTCCAGCTCCCACTGGGACCGGTGGCTAGGCTGGGTGTTGAGGAGGGGAGAACCCTGTGCGAAAGGCTGTACATTTCCCTCCTTCTTGTGCATCCATCTTGGGCTCCCTCATCTCAGCCACATCCCAGGAGTGCCACACCAGAACTGAAACCCCACGGACGCCCAAGCAGTGGTGAAACCGCGACAGGAAAAAGCACCAGGGAGGCAGCGAAGATGGACTTGATATGAATCTTTAATGCACAGAACAAGCTGCCGGGAGCCTTTCGAACGAAGGCTGCACACGGAGCCACCCCGTCCACTCGGAGTGGTACAAAAGCTCAGCTTGCCTGCAGTGTCCCGGGCACCCACCTGGCTCCCCGCCCCAGGACCCTCGCTGGCAGCGCGGTGTCACCGGCCACCCGCGCCACCTCCTCCTGGCGTCCTCGGCCACCACGGCACCGGGGCCCCTCGCCCCACAGCTGCTGCCCGGTGGTAGGGCAGGCAGGGCAGGCAGAGCAGGCAGGGAGGGGATCACCCTGTGCCCATCAGCTCCCCTCTGCCTGGTCCTGGCCTCGAGTGGGTACCTCCTCCTCCCAGGGTATTGGAGTGTGTAGTCCAGGAAATTCAGTAAGAAAAGATTAAAAAGGAGAGGCTTTTATGCTGAGTCAAATTAGGTAATTTCTTTTTTTTTTCTTTTTTTTTTTCTTTTTTTTTTTCTTTTTTTTTTTCTTTTTTTTTTTTCCCTTGAAAAAAAAAAAAAAGGAAAAGAAATTAAAGTCCAACTTGCTCATTTCTTGTTTCTCTGCTGTCTGTGTGAGAAAGTCCTGTTTGGCCTCGCTGTCCCCTTCCACCCCCTCTGAACATCACCCGACCCCAACCCCCACCAGCCACTCAGCACATCACAAGTCCTCGACTCCTCGGAGTCCCTTTGCCTCCCACAGCTCCAGGCCCACTCCTTCCCTCACCGCCCCTTGGACTCCCCGTAGGTGTTGCGCAGCATGGAGACCATCTTCTCCTCGCAGGTGACTTTGGTGTCCTTTAGGATGCTGTACCAGACCATGCCGGGCGGCCGGACCTCCTCGCTGCGGCAGAACAGGTAGGGCATGGTCTCGGTGCGGCTCTGGATGTAGGCACTGCGCAGCAGCGTCGAGCAGTGGCTGCTGACCTTCTCCAGCCTCCTCAGGATCAGGTGAGCCTTCCTGGAGGGGACAGAGATGGGAACAGAGCAGGGCAGGCAAGGCACAGGGGACACCAGGAGTCAGGACTTCTGCCACCAGCTGTCTTGTGGCAAGAATGGACAAGACCCATTGCCTAAGACATTGTCTTTCCTGTTCCAAGTGGAGAGAAGTTCTTGTTTTCCCAAAGTTCTGGGTATAGCTACCATTTCACAGCACCAAGACCTCAGGTCTGACCCACTGGAGCAGCTTGTGTGCCCTGGGGACAGTCTGCCCCAGCTAGATTGTCACCACCACCATATGACCTTGGCCAGCTCCAGCACATGTGCTGGCCCCACCTGGCACGTTGGTGAGACTCCCAGCACCTTCCTGCCCCTGACTGATGAGCACTGCCCTCCCTTTCCTGATTTCCCAAGTCTGCAGGAGGTAAACAGCCCAAAAGGACTGACACTAGAAGAGTGACGAAAAAAAGCACAACACATTAAGACAAAACAAAATAAACCCATAAGAAACCAAGAATCCCCTTGTGGGAGTCTGCAAAGTGCTAAATCAAACAAAGGGAGGGAAGAGGGTTTACTTCAGTGGTCTGAAAGTTTCAAGATCACAGATTATTTCCTCTCCCTCTGGTGCCACAGGAAAGCTCTGGATTCAGGAGTCGGGGATTTCACAGTTCCTGCAGGAATGTAAATTCCCGATAATGATATGTCAGGGGCAGCACTGTCAGTCAGCAAGACATAAACATGGGGATTATTTGATTATGAAAGCTGAGTGGTGTTGCAGCTTGGGCTGTGAGCTCCCAGCCTGGGGGGAGACTTGGAAGCCTGATGTCCAAGGATGGGACGCCAGGGAAGGGCTGGTCAGGGTCACCTCAGTGCCAGAGCAGAGGGCAGAGATGATGGCAGGAGGCAAGAGGGCACCCTGGCACCCCCAGACAGCTCAGACCTCTCCCTCTAGAGTGGGAACACTGATGAAAGGCTGTGGGAAACCACTGCTCCTCCAGGGCTGCACATGGAAAACTGTCCCACTCCTCCCCAGGGGGATGTGCTCTGGGTCAGCTTCGAGGGCAAAGGAAGAACAAAGGAAGCTGGGCCTTCCTGGAACAACACCCCATGGTATCCATTTATGGATTTTATCCACAAGACACAAGGCAGACTGGGCAATTTGAGCCTTGTTAGCTACACACACATCTATAATAATGATGTCATGGGCTGAGCTCTGACACAACACCTCTACTCACGTTACTCTCCATAGCAGCCACCTGACCTTCTACAGCATCTGGTGCTCCCACCACACACCAAGACCTGACATGCTGCCAGGAACAGGTCCTGTGCTGCTGGATGTGTGCCTCTTGGAGCCACAAATTCCATGATGGCATTAGGTGCTTTCAGTGAAGACTGATTGATTCAAGCTCAGCTCAGCAGCAAAGTGAACTCTGTAGTGATTGTCCCTACAGTTGCCAAACTTCAGCAAATCAGTCACTGCAGCTGGAAGGGAGAAAAGCCATCACCTGTGCCACTTCCTGCTGGGATCAACCTGCCTGGATGAATTTCTTCTGACCTGCTCCTAAGGTCAGGAGCTGGTGATCCTTCAAGTGCTCCCCATCCTCACGCTGGCAGATTGTTTCTTAACATCTACACTGGTTCTCCCTTCCAGGGAGCTGGTGCTGAACAAGCACAGGACCCACATCACCTCATGGGATGGACTCTTATGTCAGCTGGCCATGCTCAGGAGGACATGCTCAGCCAGAACACCCTCACAGAGGAGAAATCTCATCTCTCTAAGGCCACAACTCCATGATCACCCTGATTTAGCCCAAAGCAGCTCTACTACCAAAATGGGGTGCTGGCCCTTCCCCAGCGCTTTAGCTTGTTCTTGTGCTGGTGTCCATGGACCTGAACACTGTGCCAGCATGGGGAAGTTGTTTATTCAAAGGCCAAACAAGCAATCACTGGGTTTTCCCCCCAAACTGGTTATTATTCCAGCACACCACAAGGCCTCTTCCAGGCATAGCAAGAGGGGAGCAATGAGGAGTGGCCATGACCAGCCCTTGAGGAAAACCCTCATGGTGGGTAACCAACAACACAAGGAGTGGATGTCTCAGGTGGCCAGTGGCTCTCTGCTAGCCACTCTATTCCCTTCTCACCACTTCCCCTATCCTACCCTCCACCGCTTTCCTCACCCATCTCTCACTTTTCTCCTACACAACTTGCCTTTGCCTCCATTTCCCTTGGCCTTCCCTACCTTTCCACTTTCATTATTTGTTCCACTACACTTTAATGATCTGATGGATATTGCTAGAACTCTCTGTGTTGCCCTTTCTTCCTGATATATACTCAGGACTCTTATCCAGGCAAATATTCCTATATGTGAGAAGCACTTGAAGGATGACAAGAAATTCAGGGGCCAAACCACCCCAACCTGCCTGCTGTGCCAGAGGCTGTGATTCTCCTGGGGCTGTCTCCACACACCTGCTGCATCCACAGCTCACTCTGTGCAGTCAGTCCCAGGAAATACCTGTGTTCAAGGATGGGATGTGGCACATGATGGGCTGCCCCTGTGAGATACTGAAAACACACTGAACTGTGGTCACAGAGGAGGCAGGGTGATGGGGCAGAGGGAATCAGGCCCCTCACTTTTGATGTCCAGTGCCAAAGCTCCAGTTTTGATGGGTTTCACTGCTTTGAGTAATTTATTTTAGCAGGGTAATGAAGTCATGTGTAAATGTTAGATTTAGCTTTCGGCTGTCAGCTGTTCCCTCTTAAAAAAAGTAAGGAGGAAGAGAGACAGAGTGGGTGAGGGGAGGGGTGAGAAAGAGAGAGAGGCTTTCTGGTGAAGACTGGGTAATAAATTTCAGGAGCAGTTCTTGGGCTGCCAATTTAACACCATAAATCAAGCCCTGGGTATTACCCAAGTGCTCCCTATGGAGGGCTGTCGGGTCAGAACGACCACCTTTTCAAATACTGGAAATGAAATCTTCCTAAATGCTGACCAACCTCATCCCTGCCAGAAATTGCAATTTATTGCCTTATTAAAGGGCAGGAATTGGGCGGGGACACCACGGGAGCGAGAGGGGAGTCACTCTCCTGGCTGCCTGTGGCTGGACCCCAAGCTGTCAGTCCCCAGAGGGATGAAGTGACCCCCTTCCCACTCACCCCACAGCCCAGATGGGGATGCCCCCATATTGGTGTGGGCCAGCAGTGTCCTCTCTCCCACCACATGCCCACCACAGGAGCCAGGGACTGACTCTGGACTGCACTTAGGTGGTGGATTTAGGAGGTCACAGCACAGTCACAAATGATGAAGAGGGGGATTTACAAATAGTGACAACTCTAAGCAGCCACTTCCCTCTGCAGTGCCTCGTGGCATGGAGGGAGAGAGGAAATGGGAGTGGATGGGTGTCTGCTGCCAGGGCACTTTCCAAGGGCTCCTGCATGAACAGGAGACAGGGCCCTGAGGTCCCTGCTGCCAGCCCCAGCTCTGCAAGCATTTGCTTGAGAGTAGGAGCTTCCTGTTCTGCCCAGTGCCAGGGGTGCTCCTGCTGGGATGTTTGTCCCCCCCAGCTGCTCAGGGGATGGCCAACATTCACCGTGAGGGCTGATATGGGATGAAAATATATCCAGAGCCAGGCCAACCCTGCCCTGCCTCACCTTGGAGGGAGGTACTAAAAGAGGGCAAAGCAGCATGAAGGAGCCATTAAAGAATGATACCTGGGCTGGAAGGAAGAATGAGATTCCTGAGACTGCAGGGAGGGGTGGCTGCCTGGCTGCTGTGCTCCTGTGTGAGGTGGTTCTGTCATAAACTCAGATTTTCCACTCTACTGAGAGCTGACCTGGGTCTTTCAGACCCTGGCGTGTGAGGACAGTGAGTCCAGGACTTGATGGCCTCTTATCACAGCCTCCCATCAGAACATTGCATTCCCCCTTGTACCAGAAGGCAGCTGCTCTGGAGATGCATTTCATGTCCATTGGCCAGCCCAGCTGCCTGCCTGGGTGACTGGCTGGAGCAGGGGACAGGTTGTGAGCCCTGGGCTGATTCCATGTACTGACCCCAGTGTTGCTGATAGCCACAAATAGGGGCATGGAATAAAGATTTTAAGTTAATTATTTGTTCTGCCTCCTCTTAAAAGCCATACCCTGCTTGTAGTGGTCATAAGAATCATCCTGAAAACACAGCAAGATAAAATAATAGTAAAATCTCCCTGTGGCTCTGTTAGGAAGCAGACTGGCTGCATGGATCCAGAGGTCTAGATGCACAGTAGCATTAAAGTTCACTGATTTAGAAAGATTCTTCTGTCTTGTTGGAACAAATTAACTGTGTGAGATTCACTCAGTGTCTGTGAGAGGAGGGGGGGAGCAGGAAGGGGGCTGCTGTTGCTAGAGGAGATGAGCAGGATGAGGCAAGCCAGGTGTTGAGATGCTGCTGACCACGGAAAATCCTGGTTTAGGGCCACCTATGAGCTAAGTTTTTAATGTCTCCTTAATGTAAACGGTCTGGTTGGGACATCTGGCTGTCAGTGTGTCTTCTTGCCAGCAGCTGTTTGCAGTAACCTGTGGCTTTCATGGAAACTGGGCTCACGAGGACCTCAGTGTGATGTATTTATTACACAGAGGCAATCAACTCCCCTCTTGTCGCTCCGTTTTATGAGTGAACATTCACTGTGAAGCTGAGGCTCATCTGATAAACATTTCAAGGTACAGAAATGCTTGTCCCCCTGGGAAGGAGAACAGCCTGTCAATTAAAATCCTGTTACGAGATGGCCTCCCTTGGCAAAAAAAAAAAATCCTCATTGCCTCCTGCTGTGTCAGTGGCTCTGCTTCTGTCCAAGCCCCCTGAGAAGCCAGGCTGGATGGCAGAGCTTCTCTCTGGTCACGAGCCTGGCACTGGCTGCCTTGGCTTTTAAAAATTCGTCCCCTTGGCTGCAAATCACATGTTTCTCGGGGCAGAGGAGTGCTGGGAGGAACTCCCCTGGCTCAGTGAGGACAACAGACAGCAGCCAAATTGACCATGGGCTCCAGATGTAGCTGGGTCCTAGAACTGACAGTTTAAATGTCACCCTGCTGTCCCACAGCTTGAAACAGGTATTGGGTTAGGCAGCATCCTTCAGTGGGTTGGATCTCAAGTAACAGGGGAAATAAATATGTGTAAGAAGAAGCTGATGGCTCCCAGGGATTCAGAAAAAAGGAACAATTGCAAAGGACAAAATAGCCTGCAGTGTCCTCAGACGGAAGACAGGGGGAAGATGAGAGTGGCTCTGTGCCAGAGGCCACTGAACTACCACAGAAACTGTGACCAAGGTCATCTCTGGAGGAGGACAAGCCCCAGGACACAGCTTGGATCTGTGTCCAGAAGGAGTGTAAAGTTGTGAGGTGTCATCCTGGTACTATAGAGAGATCCTCAGCCACATCTGACAAGCCAATAGGAACAAAGAGAGAAGGAAAAACTTTTCCAGGCTTATATTACACCCTTTGCCCCCCACTCCTCAGTGTTTCCAAGCCCCCAGCTCACCCAGTTCAGGCTGGGTGACGCAAACATTCATCCAAAGACCACCCAGCTGCCAGGTGTCCCACCACCATTCATCCAAGGACTGAGCAGGACCTGGTGCTCCAAGGGGATGCAGGACAGCTTGGTGAACACCAAAAGGGGGCTTCTTTTAGCTACAAGGAGACCAGGGGGTCACATCCCCAGTGGCTAAGGGGGTCACATCCCCAGTGGCCAAGCAGAAGGGTGCTCTGGGCATGGGGCAGGGCAGCACAAAGGGAAGGGACAGGTACCTGGGCCCCAGCTCATCCTCACTCCGCCAGACGAAGTCTCCAAACTTCTCGTAGTGGGAGTTGTAGTGGTGCTGGACTCGGAAGAGCATGGAAGCAGAGACCTCCATCAGGGTGTTGTAGGCTGTCTGCTGCTCCTTTCCGCTCGTGTAGCCATTGTAGAGGTTGTAGATTTTGTCAGCTATCTCTGGAAAGGATCAGGGCATGGGATTCATGACCAGCTGAAGGTGATAACATGGGGAGAGGAGGAGCAGAGCCCTTGGCGGGGCTGGCAGCAGGGGTTTGGCAGCTGGGGTGGCTGCCAGTCCCTTGGGCTGCCTGCAGCAGGGGTGAGTGACTGCAGAGCATTCAGCAATTCCTCAGGCTGATCCTGCAGTGGGTGCCCTGCATGAGCAAAGCTCTCACAAAGCCTCCAGCAGTACTCCATGAAGGAGCAGAAGGAGAAGAGGCAAAAAGCTGCCAGGACAGGCAGACAGCCTTATCCTCCCAGGAAGGGCAGGCAAGCTCTTCCCAAATTCACCAAACCAAAAGCCCTTGGCAGTTATGGTGGTAAAGAGTGGGAAGAGATCAACACTTGATCCCAGGATGGCCCTTCAGCCAGAAACGCAGCACCTCATCATTGTGGGCATCCGCTGGAGCAGCTCAGATGTGTTAAACAAGAGTGTTAACTCTCTGCTGTAAAAAAAAAAATCTTTTTGGAGACAAGAAATGCACAAAACTGCATCTCCTTTCTCCTTAGTCTCCTATTTGCTGTTTTTCCATGGGAATGCTTTCTTATTGAACACAGAACTAAGCACTAACCAAATTTTTCTTTTCTGTGTGATACTCCCAATGGAAACCAAGCAAGAAAGAGAACAGGTAACATGATGGTCGCATAGAGGAATCCTTTTAAATCTGAACTCAGCCAGGTGCTCTGGTTTGGGTATAAGGACAAGTGGGATCAGTTTCAAAACTGAACAATGCAAATGTCCAAAAGTAGCTGAGCTTTTATCAACATTTCTGTTTCCAAACTGATGCAGCTGCCCCCAGCATCCCTTCAAACACCCAGGGCCAAAGGTGCCCTGCGTGGCCCAGCCAGGGCTGCTTCTCTCAGGTTTGTGAGAAGGGATTGCTCTTCTTCCAGGGGGCCTGTGTCAGACACACAGTACCAGCTCCCACATCCCTGGAAGGAAGGATGCCTGTGTGGCATCACAGAGTCATCAGCTGCCCAGCCAAGGAGACTTTGCCCCTGGACACTCCTGCCATTTGTCACCCATCCCCAGATGAACGTCCCTGTGCCCATGGGTGAATTTAAAGGAGCCTTCCCACTGTGAGAGAAGGGCCTGGGCAGGTTTGTGGGAGCACAGTGACAAAAGAAAAATCAATATCAGCAGGAGATGTCTCCTGGCACAGATCATGAGGCACCTGAACACTGACCTTCAGCCTTGCTGTCATCTACCAGCGGGCAGGCTGTCCTCAGGGTGACTGTGCTCAGCTCTGAGTGTCTCCCTCGTGTATCCACCGCGTACAGGGTAAATCTGGAAGGCAGGAAGCAAAAAGAGAACAATGTCTTGATCCCTCAGTCCCACACCACCAGGTTGTTAAGGGAACTGGCCTTCAGAAGAGAAAGGGAAAATGTGGTCCAGGCATTGTCAGTCAGTTTTGGCATCTCAAGGAGACGTGAGATGATCCCTTGGAACAGAGGAGAACACAGGGACAGGAGGCAGGGCTGAGGGGACAGGCCACTTCATCCCTTTCTGGAATCCGCGGGGCTCCATTTCCTCTCCCCTCATCCCAGGGCCCCCTGTGGGGCTTCACCCTGACCCCTCCTGACTGCAGAGGGATGAGGACACCTCAGGGCTGCTCTCCATGCACTGATGCTAACATTATACCACGGTGGTGTTTGTGAGCTGGGCTCCTCTCTGGCCCTTCTGGGAGCAGGGCAGTAATTCTTACTGTAAGTGGGCTTTGTGCTGACAAGTGACAGCTCGTACTCATCCCGTGAACGGCCCTTGAGTTGTTTGCTCCCTCATTTCCTCACAAGGGTGGGGCTGGCCAAAGGGTGGGAATGATAATTTCACACTTGAAGCTAATGGAGAGCATCTGACAGTAAAATATGGCTTTTGTGCCTGATGGAGCATTGAATAAACAGGCTGTGGCTGCATGGAACGTCCCGGGATGCTGAGCTCAGAGTCCTGCTCGGAGCATCAAAGCTCCAAGACGAGAATGCTTCTTCGCAGCAGGGGTGACAATCTTCTGTCCACTCTCCCAAAGGGCAGCAGTTCATGTTTATTCACTATGAGCTGGGCATGGCAACTCAAGCTGCCTGTGACAAAGTGCAGGGGCTGGTTTCAACCCCTCAGAGATCTAGGATGTCTGGTGGTGGGGTTCCCAGCCTGAGAAATAACATGCCACCCCTCCTTAGCCTAAGGTAAAACTGACCAGCTCCTGCAAGTGAGTGTAAGGAGTGTTATAAAAGCAGCTGAAGCTTAAATGGGATTGAGACCCTGATGTCTGTTTATTTAAGTAATAGTCCTAAGTCCTTAGCATCCTTGGGGGTGACAGAAGCAATGCCTCCCTATTTCTCACCCCACACACGAGCACTGCCAGCCCCCTCTCTCCTTCCTGCAGGCCCTGCACATCCCACATGTGGCTGATAAGAACTGACATCTGCACGGTAGCAATTCCCAGCACAGGACATATTCCCTGCAAGCAATTAGCATTAGCTCCCTGACAATACTTGCTGTCTGAAAGGATGCCAGCAGATTGCCAAGGAACTCACTTGTGTGCAGGGACAACTCCCATTTTCACAAAGCTGGGGCACACAGGGGATGCACACACTCAGCTCACCCAAGGAGATGCTATTTAATCCTTTTGGCATGACATCATTTTCCTTAATTTACCAGGAGCCTTGCTCAGAGTGGGAGTATCTGAAGAAGGACATCCACACTGTGCCACTTCACAAGTACCACACACAGGCTGTTCTCACTGAGGGACACCCAGAGCAATAGGGCAACACAGAATTCCATGCAGAAGTCTGACTGCAGGGCTTTGCCTCCCATCCTGAAGATTCCACTGGTCCTTTCCCTCCCTTCAAGGGCAGTGAGGAGTCTCCTGCTGGGAGCAGGGCAGGTTTGTGTCTCAGCAACACCAACAGGGGCACCCAGTGCTGAGCAGGGGCACTCCAGCCCCAGGAGATGAGGAGCTGGAGAACAGGGCAGGGACCCCCAGCTGCCCACCCACTGCAGGGCTCTTCTTGCTCATCAGCAGAAGTACAACAAGCAGTAAGAGAGCTCAACACCAGTGTACTGCTCCCCGTCACCATCCTGGGCTCCCCTGCCGAGGCACAGTGGCTGTGCTGCTGTGTTTGCTTTGGAAAAAGGGTGAGCACAGCTAATGTGTAACCTCTGCTCTGCCTGCAACAGCTCAGGCTAGCTCCATTAGCTCTGAGGCAATCAGTGCCAGAGCACTTTCCTTGGAAAACAGAAGACTTTTATCAAAACATAATTGTAATATTCAGCAATTAGTGCCCATTTCACCTATTCCACTGCCAGTGGGGTCAGGAAGATTGGTTGGGTGTTGAAGCACATCCACCCCTTTGGGTGATGCTGAAGACCTGTGTGAGCCTTTTGACTGCACTTCTCCCCTCAGCCCAGCTCACACAGGAGCAAAGTCACTCAGCTGCCAAGAGCATCTCTCCTGGTCAGGCCTGGGTTAAAAAATAGATGTCAAAAAAACAAGCCCTCTTTTTTTTTTTTTTTTTTTTTTTTGATGATGATGTAAGGAAAAAAAAAAAAAAAACAACCAACAATGTAAATGGAAAAACATCAGAATCAAAGTGATTTTGATCTTGTCAAAAATTCTCTTTCTGAGAACAAACCCAATTGCTTTACCTCACCTGGAGCCAGTCCTCTTTCAAGAACCTTAGAGGAAACTCTTTCATCTCCATTCCTTGTGAATGACTTGTTTTGGACTCAGCACCAATCACCCCAGCTGGGTGGAGGCTGACAGCCCAGCAGCACACAGCCTGTGCACCTCTCTAGCTCCTTCCAGCCAGTGACCTCAGAAGGTTTTAACATTAATTACAGTCCAAAAGATCACCCTGAAGCACAGCAGTATTAATAGCTCTGTTTTATCGACAGTAAACAGAGACATATGGGGTGAAGCATCGTGCCCTGGAGAGGCTCAAGTTTGAAAACACGGGAGATGATGGTTTCCAATCTTGTTCTCAAAACACTTGACCACCCAGCCTCTGCAGCAAAACAGTTTTATGGCCAGTTAATGGCACTGTGCAGAGTGCTGGGGTTTAGTTTTGTTCTTTTATTCCCGGAAATGGACAATTAAGAGAAGGGAGTGCAAAGATCTGTGTTTCTGTGTCTCTGTGCAAACCCAGCATTCACATCTTGCTGGAAACCTTCAGCAGATGCAGGCAAGGAGCAGCCTAGGACCCACTGGGACATTAGTGGGGTGGTCAGTGGCAGGAGAGATCACCACTGCATGGGAAGGATGGGGATGTGGCTTTAAGCTAAAGCAGGGTAGGTTTGGATAAGGTATTAGGAAGAAATTCATTGCAATAAGAGTGGTGAGGTTACCAAAACAGGTGTAGACTCCACATGCCTGAAAGTGTTCAAAACCAGGTTGGGCAAAGCTTTGAGCTTTGCCCATCCTGGGATAGTAGAAGGTGTCCCTGCCTATGGTAGAGGGTGGGAATGAGATGAGCTTTCAGGTCCCTTCTAACCCAAACCATTCCATGATTTTGCACCTACATGACAAACCAGGGGAAAATCAAAGTGATCACACTGAGGGAGGGAGCTAAGCCAAGGGCAAGGTGGGATTTTGCAGCACTCCACGGAGATCCTCCTGCTCCACTTAAATCTATTACAGAGTTGTGGGCCAAGGGACCAAGCCAGGCATCGTCCCCACTGATGAGGATAGAGCTGCACTTGAATAGGCCAGCGCTGGTAATTTGTAAATAAATGAGGCCAAAGAGTGGTTCTGAGTGCTTTGCCCAAGGCAGAGATCTCTGGGGTGAAGTCAAAGCCAGAAACTAAAAGGTCTCAGACCTACAGTCATTGCACAAAACCACGTCAGACAACCTGGAATGCCATATGGTAGCTACGATCTGGCAGAAGCTCCTTTATACCCTGGAGATGTTTTGTTTAGTGATAACCTTTCCTCACCACATTTCCTCATCTTCTCCCTGTGCTTTCCAAAGGAGCTCCAGGCTCCCTGCTCCTGTCTCACAGCTGATTCTCTTCTTCACCTGTGCCTTCAGTAAGATCCTACATGAAAACTTGTGTATCTAGAAATACTAGAATGTATTTTACCTGAAGAGGTTTCCAAGAGGTCCAAACACGTATGCTTTTGGCAGGGATCAGCCCTCCATGCCTAGAAATGCTGCCACCTCTGCAGCAAATCACAGCATACAAAGTCCTATAAAGTAATGCTAGTTAAATGTTTACTTCTAAATTCAAATCTATTGGGACCTCAAGGAACTTTCAGGGAGAGATAGAAACCAATCAACATTTGCCTCAGGAAATGTCAATACCTTCCTCGTGAATTCCCCACCCAGTGTTGGCTGAAGGTTGGGTTTTATCACCAGGCTCAAGATGCTTCTTGGGGGAGGAAGAGAAAGCAAGAGGGGGATGTTAATGCTTCAGTTCCTGGAACCCAATGGCTGTTGAGATTGTCTGTTGCATTTCAAGAGATTTAAAACCCAGAAAAGAATGCTTCTATCCTTTCTCAGTGCAGAGAAAATAACCCTAAATACAAATTCATAAAGGCACAAAACTCTTAAGACTGAGAATGAAGGCTCAAAACATGTTACTTATTTATAGACAGCATGTTTTCTTAACTCCCTCTCATGGTGCTCATGACGTTTGAGTGCTTTACTCATGATCCTTATTTGCGGGAAGTGAGATAAGGACTTCTGAGTCTGACCTTCCTTAGCTTGGCTGCTGATTTCTTTATATCCTACAGAGATACCACAGGCATTTCTGGTCTGCCTTGTCTGCTCTTCCTGAGGCCTTTGGGCTGGTGCAGCTGCTCCGTGAGATGCTGTACCACATGGGCTGCCTGGGCTGCAGAGAAGGGCTCTGATAAGGAGCTCAATTAGCGCTCCGGCAGCTGCCAAGCCCCCACGCTAATTAAGCATGTGTCTCCTGGGAGCTGGCTGCACCCAGCAGCAATGGCTGTGTGGCCAACCCAGGCTCTGAGAGGAAGCCATGTGAATGAAGGAGTGAATGAAGGAGAGGGCAGAGGTGCTGCTCCAGAGCCCAGTGTCACACAAAAACGCGGCCTCAAGCTTTCCAAAGTGGTGCGACCACAAGATGATCCTGCCAGTGGGGCTTGGCTTGAGCTTGGCTGATCTGCCTGGGCTTGGTGCCGTGTTCCTGCAGCCACGAGACTCTTGCTGTTAACTCCAGCAGCTCGGAGAGGGCAACCCTGGCTGGAGTCCCACACACAGCATGATGGATTCTCCCTCCCCTGGCAGCATGGCTACCACCACCCGTCATGCCAAGCCTGAAAACACAAATCC